TAATCACTTCGTCGCTTCTTTTCACGGCAAATTCGAGTGTTCGCAATTTCCCTTCGAGCTCCTTCACTTTTGATTCCATATCTCCGTTAATTTACAAGAAATCAGTGGAATAATCACCAGTTTTAATGCTTTTTTAAGAGAGGTTTCGTTTCCCGCGGTCGTGTCGTTCGTGACCTTATATAAATGCCAATATTTTCACAGGTTCTTGCTCTTGTACGAGCGATAAATCACACAAAAATCCCGTTTGGAGGTGCCACTATGTCGAGAATTGCCCCCTGATAGTTCTCAACACAATAAGTTTTAGTTTTCTGTAGTTTTAATAACGTTTATACGCACTATAAATCTCTCACAACACGCTGTCTCAAAATTGTTCCACAATCACAATAACAACTAGAGGGCACTCAGAGACTGCATACCTCCGCCCGTTACTCGGAAGTGAAACGCAACCTTGGAATTTCCTAAGAAATCCACTTTATAATTCTTAAGCATAAAAGATTTTAGGCTCCCGCGAATTGAAATCGAATTGCTAATAGATCATATTACTGTTGTTGTACTGTACAGTACTTGTAAAGTAAAAACTTATTAAGTGTCATTAAATAAATGCATAAATTTTGCTTTAGGCACTCGCGCGTGCAGTAATTTTCACAGTTGTGCTATTTTAAATTCCCAGGCAGCTAAAATCTAAAACAATGTCGATTTCTTGGGAAATTTCGAGATTGCGTTTTTTTTATACACCCTGTATTGAAGTAATCTAATGTTGTTAAATGTTGTTAGAATTTGAATGGACTGGCACTTTGCTGAACGTAATAATGCGTAACTCCGTAAGCCTTGTTTTAGACATTGAATTTCGGTCGCGTGAAATGCAACTAAGACAATAGATAATGAAGGCCGAAGCTTAATGAGGTTTATCATCTCATTATTGTCTTAGTACTGCGTGCATAAATTATACACGTCCTAATTACGCATTCAGTAATATTTTTTAATTGACCGGGAAAAGCAAGACAAAATTTTGTTCATTTCTCGTTCAATTTTTAACCAAATTCAACCAAATTTTAATCAGTTCTTCCTTAGCCGATGGGAAATGCATTCCAAAAATTTCGTATGAATATGTTTGGTATTTCTTGAGTTATCGTGCTCACAGACAAACACACACACATACACACACACATACACACACACATACACACATACAAACCCAGATGATTACATAACCTCCTGGCGGAGGTAACTACCGGTATATTCCGGAACTTTCCGACAGAGTTCAGTTCGGACTCGCGCGTAACAAAACATAATATATAATGACAGTTTTCGACACAGCGAAAGGAAACTCCAAAGATGATTTATCCGAAATCCGTTTTGTTTTCGGAATGTCGCCTTTGTGGTGGTATTTTGTCGACAAGAAGTATTGCAAAAACCTATTTCTAAAGCTAGCGAAATAAAAACCTGCTTCATATCGCAGAAATTGTAAATTGTGGAACTCTTGTGTGTGATGACAGACTTTCGAATCTTCCTAAATTAACATTAGTCGTATTCGACTTTTCCGCTTTGCTCGGGGGACAACCTTATTTGAAATAGCTGTATACATATAATCAATTTACAATTTGTTCTACTGTATGGGTTTTTGTCCATGAAGTAAATTTTTTCCATGAAGTGCCCCCTTTGAAAACTGAGTTCAGGGCCGTAGCGAGGGGGGTATTGGGGGGGGGGCGGTTAACCCCCCCCCCCAAACTTTTGTAAAATTAACATATTCGGAAAGTCTGGTTCGCCATTCGGAAAATTACGCCAATAATAGTATAACAAAATTTCAGTTGTTTAGACAGAGAAAATATTATAAAATGGTATTGTGATCAGTATAAGTTATAAACTGATTTACGAAATCACAGCATTTACATGGATAACATTTAACAAATCGTAAATCGGTAAATGTTTTTTTCGGTTTATTACTTCTCAGGGCCGTTGCAACGGGGGGGGGGGGGCTAGGGCAGCAGCCCTTACAATAATTTGCTGATAATCACCCTTTTTTCAAAATCATGCACACCTTTATCATTAGTAAATAATATACTTTTAAAATACTGACAATTGATTAATTTTAAGCGGCTACATTATCCATGACAACCCGCAAAGAATCATATTACCCTTACTCTTTCCTGCAACTTCTCCGGTGTAAAGTTAATTAAATACGCCTTTGCCCATTTAGTACTACTATAAATTGTAAGCAAATTGTAACAGATTTCAACATACTAAAACTCTATTAACAACTCGAACAAGAGTAACATCACAAACATCATATTCACCTGAGTATATAACACCGACACACACACAAAAATCATATCATAAATTACACTGATATCGAAGGAACTAGATTCAGTTCCGAAAATCAAGAATCATCGAACCGACTTGACCACGTAGCTCAGTTGCATATGACAGAGCATTGGACTAGTATCCCAAAGGTCGCGGGTTCGATTCCCTCATTTCCGCCGTGGCCAAGCAAATTTTCAGCTTGCCCGGTGTGGATGCACACTCAGAGTAACATCACAAACATATTCACCTGAGTATATAACAGCGACACACACACAAAAATCATATCATAGATTGCACTGATATCGAAGGAACTAGATTCAGTTCCGAAATATCAAGATATCGAACCGACTTGACCACGTAGCTCAGTTGGCAGAGCATTGGACTAGTATCCCAAAGGTCGCGGGTTCGACACCCCACCGTGACCAAACAAACTTTTTACCCGGTGTGAATGCATACTCAGAGTAACGTCACAAATATCATACTAAAAATCTGTTTTATGACCATCAGAATTCTGTAAAAACTTCCCCCCCCCCCCCACAGGAAATGGCATTTCAGAGAATCTAAATTTAAAAATTTCGTTCCCACCCCCAATAAAAAAGAGCTTCCTACGGCACTGCATGCTTCTGTAATATGTCTGTGCGTACAATATGCGTATTTTTGTTTGTAAGTTGCAACTTCATTTTCCGGATAGAAAACAATTTCGTGGCTTCGTACGCCATGAAATATTCGGAAACTGTTTTCGTCATTCGGAAATTTTTGGCTTACACCCCCCCACCCCCCAACTATACATGCTAGCTACGACCCTGATGGTATCTCACAGAAATACATGTCCTAATGTAGGAGAGAAAAGGTAACATATGTATTAATTTGCATGTCTTACTATTTTGGGCTTAGCTACATTGTTACAAGTGGCCCTTTGATTTCTTTCTTTCCAACAAAGAAAAAAAATTATTATAATAATATTTGGCTTATTTAATACTCAGCAATCTGGCAACTCTAATATAATTTCCCAAGAGACTAATTTTAATTGTTATTTTAAAAAATACTTAACAAGTTAATAATTTAATATATTAATTTCCGCTTTGCTCAGACAGTGATTATATTATAACATTAGGTAAATAATATCATGTTTGCGTGAATTTCTATTGTTCTATTGTGCTGTATTAGTAACTAATTCACTCGCCTGCTCAAATGTACAGGTCGTATTAGAACTAATACGACCTCAGTTGACGTCACTACGGGTCGTATTAGTATTACCACATCACCTGGAAAGTTTGAGCAAAATTATCACAAAATTATGCACTGAAAAACACACAAACATTTAATTGTTATC